CACCAATAACAGGATTCGAACCACTGCTTTAGTGTCTGCCTGTCCTTTCCTGGACTCTAAATAAGTCATCATACATCATTATTATGATCATTGCAACACATTGTTCAATTTATTTCTAAATTCCCATAGGCTGCCCCTCTAAATATTTTGACTGAGATGATTATCAGTGCAAACCTTCCTCAAAGGAGCAGCATTCTAGCAGTGGAATGTTCCTATTAAACAACGCAGACAGAGAGGCTGTTGTCCATCAGTTGTTCTTTGTTTTAAACCAGTGTTTCCGAATCCAGTCCCCGCAAACAGTCCATGTTTTTGCTCTCTCCCAGCTCCCGGGATGTGAACTGCCTGGCAGGGAGCTGGGAGGGAGCAAAAACATGAACTGTCTGCTGACCGGATTGGGAAGTTTTCAAAAAATGAAGATGTGTCTGGATGCACTTGTTTTTCTGTGGGCTGAATCTCTGACCCCCCTCCACCACTCAGCCGGTGTGATTGTTTTCTCCACTGTCTCTCCCAGCTGACGCAGGCAGACATGTTGCATGTGGACCCTGCTCTTCTACAGTATCCGGACTGGAAAGGCCATCATTTGTGAGGATTGCCCCCCCCCCACACACATCCATTCCAAAATATAGTATTCCATTCTTATTGTCAAGGACAGAAATACGCAACTGGGACTTATTATTTCATTACTAGGGAAGATAAGGTTTTTTTCCATTACTTCAGGAGCAGTAGGAAGTTTAATTTGCAATTAGATTATCAGTGCTGCATAATGTTATGCTCCCTCTGACTGTTTTGGTCTAACCATGAATAGGAAACTAAATCCAAGGGAGCTAATCTGTGCTTTTGCCTCGTAGCTAATTCTCAGACAGCATGACGGACGGTCCATTTTCCCCTAATAGCGGCATTCGGATAGGATCTGTCGTGTTTGTGTCTGGGAATGGAACGCAGCACAGCGTTGACCTTGTCTGAAGCTTAGTGGGTGGTGGGCAGCACTATTACAAAGTGCTGCATACGCACAATTCTGTACAATATTTCCGTAGCAACTCTCAGATGCCTGCATGGCAGTCCCACACACCCTGGCGGAAGGTCTCGTGTTGAATACGCAATGTCCTCTCGCCCCACGTAGCCTCAGAGATGAAGTGGCCCAGTTTCTGACTCACTATTGCAAGTCCCCGAACCCCCTGAAAGCAGACAACGTGAGTGTGTGCGTCTTTGTTTGTGTGTGCGTGTGCATATATGCGCAATGCTAGAACAATGTTGATAGACAGGCTATCAGTATTTAAACTGTATGGCCATGGAGGTGTTAAGAGGTCTTCTGGTGTTCAGGTGGTGGTGATGAACGGCTGTGGCTCACTCTTCTCCGCTATTGCTGCGGTAATCTGTGACCCTGATGGTAAGAATAGCTTTACATACCCTAAAATCAAAAGTCCTCGACCCATAATTAATTCGGTCACCAAGCATGCTCCTTGATAAGAGTCAGCTGAATGTATTTTTATTATTGGTTTCTGGGGTCACATGTTTAGAACAGTGTTCTATGGGTTCCAGACGCGATCCTCATCGCCACACCCTTCTATGGTGTGATAACCGAAGATGTTAAGTTGTACAGCGGTGTGAAACTGGTTCATGCACACCTGGACTGTGAGGTACGCTGCTTTAAATTTGTAATGGATAGTGATGGACAAAATGGCGCTACGTGAACCATTTGCTGTATTTCTTGAAGCCACTAGGTGGTGCTCTCTGTTGGAAAAATAATACAAAGCATGCCCCAAAGCAAACCAAGAGCACCATCTAGTGGGGTCAAAAATACAGCAAATGGTTCACAAAGCATCATTTTGTCCACCACTAATAATGGGAGTGAGGATATAATGTATAGCCTCGCCACTGGTGCCTGTGTTCATGGGGTCATGCTTGTGGTATCTGGTTCCCTTCTGTATAGCAGTTCTTTATGTGTCTTGTTCATTGACCAGTTGTATGGTTTGTTGCATGTCTCCCGGATGTTTCACGGGGCTTTAGCCTGGTGGCTCTGAACATCGCCCCTTTCAGCTGTCAGTGGAGAAACTGGAGGAAGCTCTGGGCAAGGCCCAGAGTGAGGTATCTCACAGACAGGCTTCACCACACATTTATCCATAAGTTCCTTCTTTGAAGGACCAGTCTAGTTCTTCTTCCATACGCTGACTCTGTTGTCTTATCCAGGGTGTTAATGTTCGAGCCCTAATCCTGATGAACCCCCACAATCCACTTGGAGAGATCTACTCTGCACAAGAAATGACAGACCTCCTAGAGTTCGCTAAGAAGTGAGCTGCATTTCTTGATTTGGGGATGAACTCAGAAACTTTTGACTCCCTGAAAGTGACAGGATATAATACTCCTATTAAAAAAGTTGGCAGGTCCTTTTCATGAATTTCCTAGAACTATCAAACAAACCTGTGGTGTTTTCACTGGATACTCAAAAAGACCTGGGGAGAAGTAATGACGTACAATTTTATCCTTCTGCCATGTTATGTCTCCACAGAATATAAAAATGTGTGGCCTCGATGGGTGTGTAAAAAAAAAAAAAAAAAAAAATATCAGCGTTGCTTCAGGGTTAGGGTTGCCTGGTGTGTGATTCTGAGATTATGACCATTGTTCATAACAGAAATCAGCTGTAAATCTGTCGCACGCTGGTATAAAATTGTAGACTCATAAATAAGCTGAAAGTGTTTACACTTTATGTTCCAGCCCAGCTGAGGAGAAAAGAGTAACTGGAATGACTGGTAGGACTCGTAAATGCTGACTGCTAGTTTTATTCTTCTTTGACAGACACGAGCTGCATGCCATTGTGGATGAGGTGTACATGCTGTCTGTGTTTGACGAGTCGGCCACGTTCCCCAGTGTCCTCAGCCTCAGCAGGCAAGCTCGCCTCCACTGCCTTTATGGGGACTGTTGTTTTCGCGTTTGGCTCCATGTACAGTGCGCCAGTAACTGGGGGATGTGTTGGCAGGTTGCCAGATGCTCAGCGAACCCACATGCTGTGGGGCGTCAGCAAGGTGAGCGCCCTGGGGGGTGGGGGGCTTTGTTGGTGTTAGCTTGTCATTTTCTCTGTGTCACGTCGCATCCTGCCTATCCATGCACCTACTAGGACTTTGCCGCAGCTGGGATCCGGGTGGGTGTGCTGTACTCTGAGAACCGGGACCTGATCGAAGCTCTGGACCAACTGGCCTCCTTCCATGGCGTCCCTGGACCCTCTCAGCACCAGGTGGCCCGACTGCTCCGGGACAGGGGTATGACAGGCAGAATGCCAGGGACGTTGCATGCAGTACAGATGGATCCCTGAGCTTTTTAACTGTGTTTTTGTTAGTTAAAAGGTGTTTATTTTTTTTGCTGAAGCAAATCCATCCAGCTCTATCTCTAAATGGTTTCCTCCCTCAGAATGGATCAGCCGAGAATTCCTGCCGGAGAACCTGGCCAGGCTGCAGGCAGCTCACCGCTGCATGACCGGGGAGCTGCAGAACCTGGGGCTGCCATACCTTCACAGGCCCGCTGGCTTCTTTGTCTGGGTCGACATGAGGAAGGTAAGAGGCGGCTTCTGGCCTGGGTCCTGAGGGCAGGAACAAGGGGACGATCCTGGGAGAGGGGAATCGCAGGAGACTACAAAGGGAGGTTGAGACCCAGCCATAGATGTGACTTGCCTGTGCCCCCCCCAGTACTTAAGGGAACAGACCTTCCAGGCGGAGCTGGCGCTGTGGAGATGCTTTCTGAGGCACAAGGTGTTGGTCAGCTGTGGGCAGTCCTACCAGTGCAGCACTCCAGGCTGGTTTCGTCTCGTCTTCTCCATTCCGGAGCCCAGCCTGCGTATGGGTCAGTATACCCCTCCCCACTTTTCTGATTGACTAATAGTACATAACAATCTATTAATAATAATTACCCTTTCAGTTCTTCTTATTATTAATGTTTATTATCTCTGTGATACTGACTGCATTATGATGGTCTTGTCTTGGAGAAATGACGCTTCATGAACCATTTGCTATATTTTTTGACCCCACTAGATGGTGCTCTTGAGTTGCTTTGGGGCATGCTTTGTGCCCTTTTTTCAACAGAGAGCACCATCTAGTGGGGTCGTAAAAATACAGCAAATGTACAGATGTACAAATTTCTCCTTCTGTCACCCTTTTCTAAATGTTTGTGCATTCCAGCTGCACTTTTGTGAGACTCTGCTTCTGTCTGCTAGAATGACGGGGGCTTTTTTAACTAATGTAAGAACATTGCAACCATTGTATAAAGAGAATGAAACTTGAACAGTCTGCTTACTGGTGCTGTTATTATATAGAAAATACCTGGTTTTGATTCGATATATTTCTTTATAACTGTTTTCCCCAATCTTAAAAGTTTATTACTGTTTGCATGACAGTGTTGCTAAAGGAGGCTAAGGCCCAATCCCATTTCTCCTCCCTTAGCCCTACTACTAGATTTCGAGGGCCCTCCCTTCCGAAGTTGACTTCACAGGTCGTAGCCATAAGGGGTAGGGCTTGAAATCTTTACCTAGGAATCGGGACACCACTCGCTTACGTCATCAGCAGTCGACCATCGCACATACATTTCACACCTGCGACTCTGCATTTGTTTGTAACAATGCCGGCTCAAGGTATGGCGTTGTCGACTGCGTGCATTTTAATCATCATACTCCGCGTGATGAATACTCGCAGAAGAAATGAATACTCTCAGAAGACGTCTGCGACGCCTGCTAACGCTTGTGGATTTTTATGAGATATCGTTTAAAAACGACTCGTGTTTGTGTCAGCTAGAGTGCCTGGCTAAAGTTTTACCTGTCGCTTTACCTGTGTCACAATGTTCATAATATAACGTACCTAATTTTCATTGCTTAATGTATTTGGCTATTTCCTTTTATAAATGTGACTTTCTGTGCATGTACACAGCAATTAACATACAAATTAGAATAAACATATTTTATAAAATAAAAATAAACATACCCAGATTGCAAGGCAAATGGGCTACTCACTCCCAAAGCTGTTTAGCAGCATATTTTTTTTGGTGAACTGCTCTTCATTATGTGCCCTGAACTTTATGAGCTGCCTGGTTTGCTCGGGAGTCCCTGGAATAGTACAACATGCTTATAACACGGACAAGTCACTTTAACATTACAACATGATTATACCACTGACGTGTCCCTAGAATATTACAAAATGATCATGACACTGTCGATTTGTGGATTAGCATTCCTTTGGCAGTGGCACGCAAATATAAAATTAAGCATATTGCATGCAATATTTCTATAAAACATGTACACGTTTTGCATAAACAATGTGTTTATGTTGCATAAACAATATGTCAGGAACAATATCTTTTACATATTCCACGATGTAGAATAATGCACTTAGAAGACTATTGCACGAAACATAGAAAACAATAGGGGGTGAGTTTCCCAAAAGTGTCTCTCTACATAAACAGAAACTACATAAAAAGGACTTTGAATGCTCTCTCTGTGAGTAAATACGTTCTTAATTCTTCAACGGTTTTGTGAAACTCACCCCTGCTCAGTTCTTTTTCTATAAATACTAGAGATACTGCTCTGTTTCTACGCACGGAATTAACGATTTTCAGAAAATTGTTTTTGAAAAATTCAACCTCATACTCCGTTTCACTTACATTAAACTAAGATATTCCGCCAAAATTAGATTTTTTTGCAAGCGTATTTATAAAGAGATGAGCTTCTTTCCCCACACCGCTAGCCAACTTTTCTTTTCTTGTGTATTGCAATGTATTGTGGGAATTTTCTACTTTCACTCGGTTTTGAGTCAGCATCTGAAAAATCTCCGTTTCGAGGGCTGTCTTGATTTATGAACACCACTACCCCTCGCTGCTAAAAAGAAATGGGACAACACTACCCTATGCGGGTACGCGCAAAACGGAGGGGTAGGGCTAAGTTGGGGTATTGGGATTGGGCCTAAGTCGCCTCAGAGTGACAGAGTCACTGTACTTGAAATGTTTTTGCTCTGCTAACCTCCACATTCCTTCTCTATCCTAAGGGATGGAGAGGATTAGCAGAGCTATGAGGGAACTGGAGCAGTCAAACAGACGATCTGTCGAAGAGCAAGATGCAACAGATGGAGAAGACTCCGGAGAGGACGAATTGGAGGACGGAGGAAGTGAGAGTGCTGAGCAGAATGCAAAGGGTGCAGCATCAGCAGCCCCGGCAGGGAAGGGGCAGCCCAGTGAGAATGAGGGGGCGGGTCAGGACCATGGGCTGTCTTTGGCCGTTGAGAACTTTGTACTGATGGACATGCAGGCTGGCCCACCACTTGGGAAGCTGGATTCGCTGATTGACACCCTGCGACAGCAGATACGCTCCTCTGATTGGCTGGAGAAAAATACTCCAGAACGGTCATCAGAAGAAGATCCAGAGGTGTTAGACGTTTTTAAAGATCTGCTGGACAGAGCAAGAAAGTGAAAAATGTGTTTTATCCCTCTTATGATTTGGTAAATCAAACCCTGAATTTTATGTTTAGTTCTGGATCCATTTTTGCAGGTTTCTCTGGAAAATTTCCATTTTGGCGTACAAAATGTATTTCGAAAATACTACTCTTAATACTGTTTCATATCTGTTGTCCTGCCAAAAACAATGCCTTATTTTGCTGGTAATGGAAACAAAAATTCAAACTCAAAAGTTTATTTACTATATATGTGTTTGTGTGTGAAACTTCTGCGTTTTTTTCTTGTTTTCTGGGCACGTGGGGGGTGAGAGTGGGTTTGCCATTACAGAAGGAAACTCCGATAACAGAAACCATGCCTGCGGTTTATGTAATGAGCCTACAGTCTCTCTGACTTCAAAGCTTGTGTGGGTCTTTCCGGTACGTTGTGAGAGGGAGGGACCTTTTAACATGGGTGGGCTGAAGGTGTGCACTGGTGTCTCCGTTGCTGTGGTGAATCACTTTGTGACAGACCTGACACTGTATAAACCCTCCTATCCCAACATCCCTGGATATCTCAAACTGTATATGTAAGTGCTGGACCACAGGATGTAATTTCACAGGCCTCATAGTAAACTTCCTGAGACAGTTTGCGTGGTGTAATACTTAGGGGGGGTGTGAAAAAGAAACTTTTTGAGGCTACTGCTATTTGAAAGTGATGATGTCGTACTGGAATTTAAAGGTTAGACACTGCTTTTGAAAATATCCATATGAAGATATCTATATATAGATAGAGTGATAGATAAATAGATATGTAGAATTAGAATTTAGAATTCAATGATCAGTGTTTATTGTTGATACACCACAGCACACAGTGCACAACAACGAAATGTGTCCTCTGCATTTAACCTATATGTGACATCGTGACATAGCAGGGGGCAGCTAATTCAGCGCCCGGGGAGCGGAGCTTGGGGGCGGTACCTTGCTCAGGGCACCTCAGTGGTGCCTTGCTGGTTGGGGATTCAAACCAGGAATCTTTTAATGTAAAACACAGTGTGTTGTGCTTATATGTAATGTATATACAGTATGTGTTATATGATAATGTAGGCATACATATACTTGTTTTGCATTGGACTGGGTTTAAAGCACCACTGTTACGGAGATAATTTCGTACTTTTGATTTTGTGAGTGAAATGGGGGAGGAAGCTTCAGCGAGGGCTTGATTTCACTTTCACTAGTCCTACACGTCACGGGGTCTTTTGGGGGACTTTGTGGGGGGGATTTTCCGTTACTCGGGGGCTCATGGAAGGACCGCTGTCTTGTAGCCTCCTCCCTCTGCACTGGGGGGGCGGGCCAATAAAAGTGTGCTCTGTTCTCCCCGCTCGCTCAGTGTTTTAGCTCGGTGTGGGCCGCCTAGACAGGAGAGTGCTGTTACAGACATCGCCGTTTATCTAGATCTTACCTACAAATTTGCTTCAGTCCAGTACATTCCTGGAGAAGATATTCAGGATTATTAAGCTTGCATAAAGACGTCAGGTAAGAACAGATTTTGAATTGACTCTCAGTACTTTATTGTTTTGCCTGAATGTTAATGGTCATTATATTTAGTACTAGTTTTGTTGCCCTGTTTCATTTTTCACCTAAATATGCCGTCTCCCTTTCCTGCCCTCTCAGTGAGGATGCTGTCCTCCTCCGAGCTGCGCAACCCGGCCAGCCGGTTCCGCCTGGCCCAGTCTGCCATTGGCCTGGCAGGTTGTGGCTGTGTCATGTATGCCGTGTGGACGCCCCGTTGGTTTGGCGACCAGGGATTGTGGGAGAAGGTCAATGACACAAAGAGAGACAGTGGTGACGCCGGAGTCCCCCCCACTTATGGTGAGTTGCTGGTCAGTTAACACATTTAAGTGTTTTAACAGTTTGTAGCCTTATGGTGCGGTATAGGAGCTCCAGGTATTCCTGGGGAAAAAGCACGCGAGATTAGGGACGGGTGGTAGAACATCAACAAACTTTAACCTGGTTCCTTTGTAGAAAAGCATATGCCTCACAGGGTATAGTTTACTGAAATAATGTTTTTTAACGGTGAAGGTCTTTGGCTGGATACATACTAAGCTGATGGCCCCTCTCATCACATCATGAAAATGTGTGATGGAACGCAGCGGCACAACTAGGTGACAGCTGACATACAGCCTAGTCAGAGAACTTGGTGTCACCAACTTGCTTCAACACCGACTTAACATAATCAGTCGGCCAAAACAGTGCCAACTGGGACCGACCATATCTGACCGTGCTGGACACACTGGTGCAACAGGCAGTCACTCACTCTTACTGACTCTCACCAAAAATTGCCTTGCTATGTTTCGGGCTTCAAAAATACTTCGAAGCGGTATTGTGCTGGGGGCGTACATGCCTGTAAATTTAGCAGGAATTCAGTCACAATCAGCAGGCGTTGACTTGTTGCGGCTCTGTGGCCGACAGGGTTTTTGCGGGGAATTTCTAAATCATGTCATTTTGTGAGGATCTGAGTTATCTGAGGAGCACAGGAATACCACTTTGGTTCAGTTTTCAGCCAGCACTTTCTGGACTTATTTCTGTACACCTTCCGCAATATTACTCATCACTTTGTTGTTCCGAGTAATAATGAGATGGCAGAGCAGGAATGAAAGGCACGTTTGTGCCAGCTGTGCTTTGTTTTGGCTTTGTTTCAAAACTTCTGGGTAGGGTGTAGACAGGTTTAAGCGAGCGTCAGGCCTCCTTCAGGTATGCAAGGATCCGAGCAAGCAGCTTCAAATGGAGGAATACTCTTCCACTAACTGGTGTGGCCTTTCTTCCATTTTTGTGTCGGCATCACAGAGGCAGAGTATGTCTTCGCTATCCTGTCTTTCCTGATGGGTCTGAGTTCGGGGGTGCTGTGTCTCACCTTCGCTTTCTGCTGGACGTCGCAGACCGTACGCTCCTATTCCAACACCCGGTCCCTGCTAATGGTGGGACAGATGCTCTACCCCACCACGCTGCTTCTCATCACGTTGTCATGCACAGGTAAAACCAGTGGTCATTGTGGTTTTGTGTGTATGCTATTCGGCCTATTTCATGCAACAGAAAGTCTATATAGAGGCACCAGTATTGTCTAGCATCGCCTTAAATATGTTGGTGACTCATCTGACACAGTTTCTCCCTCTTGCACCTGTTAGGGTTTTTCTTCCTGCTGTGCTGGTCGTTCTTCACCTACCAGAATTGGGGAGACATCAGTGCCAACCCTAGCCAGTTGGGTTCCTCCTATTGGCTGGGAGCAATGGGGTTGATCCTGCTGTTGGTCGTGCTGCCAGTGGTGTTCACAGTGGAGCAGTGCATAGTTCCAGATCCTTTGGCACAACTGAAGAACTCGGCAGAAAATTGGTGGATCCCGGCCCCTACGGGCTACAACGGGCGCTCCTTAAGTGACAGCAGTACCCAAGAAGGGCAGGACTTTCTTGGGGGGCAGACGAGGTACATGTCATTTCCCTGACTGCCACCTCAGGGATATGTGACTGAAAAAAGCATGGAGTCTAAATATCTGTGCTGGTACTAAAACATCAAGGTCTGATGTGGAGCGGGAGCCAGGAATGTGAGAAAAGTCTCTGTGAGAATTAAACTGGCCTTTCCACCTTATGGTCAGAGATTCAAGTTGCAGGAGGCATGTTCTGAGGAGATTCTAGGGACTGTGGGGGCCATGGAGCCCTCCAACTCCCCCTTCCCCAGCAAAGTACAATGCAACCGCCCACTCTCGGGGCCCCCCTCCCAGCTTGGGGACCCAGGCCTTTTCCTGCCCTGTCTGGCCTGTCACTGTGCCTCTGGGTGTGTCTATACTCTTAAGTAAATAACCTATCCTGAATTTCAGTAAAATTGTCTTGATCTTTATAGGACTAATTTTTGACACTGTTGAGCTTTACAGCTAGAGACTGACAGAATTTGTACTCAAAGAGTTCTGGGACAACTCTTGTTAAGACACAAGACTGAAAAGCCTTAGTGTGGTGCTGTTGGAATGCAGATATGTGAACACTGATGTAGACTTAAAAAGGGAAATGAAATTGTGTTGGATTTGCTGGGGATTTTGTGGGGAATTTTTGCTGTTGAATGTCACGTTAGTCATTAATGACTTCTACTTTCTTTTCATGAACTTCCTGTCTGTATGTTTACACACTACTGTGCACTACAAGTGACACCAACAGTGAACTGTCTATTCAAGGTGTGAATGTTGTATGTCTGAGCAAATAAAGCTAAATTACAGCTTGTGATTTTGCATTTTTAATAAGTACACTTTCTACAATCATTACTGTTAAGGAAGAGACACACATGCTGCAATCATCATAAAATATACCATCTTGAATGTGCAGTGTATTATGATTTGCTCAGATGTCAGTTGTAACCGTGAGTCAAACCTAATGTTCACAAATACAGGGTTTGCCAACTTTGACGCATCTGGTGTGACACTCGCATTCAGACAATGCGAGAAATGCAAGAAATCTTACGGCACATCTATATTATTCCATTATAAACCTAAAATCAAAAGCGTTGGGGTAGTTTGCAAACCCTACAGAGTATTTACAAGGTAATAAAACTATTACATACATGTAAATATGTGTGCAGACTTGTCTCAAATGGAAAATCTCAAGCCAGCCAGCTGACCAAAGTTGGCAACACTGCAAATGTTCACCCTGTAGTGATCAAGAGCAGGGTGAAGAAAGTGGTGTCTTGGTTTAGGGGAGGGTACAGTGTGGTTACTTTGGTGCTGTTCCTTACAAGCAGTTGGAAAATGGATAGATGGACAACACAAATATATCTTTATACGTATATCATTAGTATATGCATTTAATTTGCTGTATTAGCAATGTATACCGTTAAATATTTTAATACAATTCATCACACTTCTGGACACTAAATATTACAATGCCTGGCAAACAAAGGCACCGCTCCGGGTGCAAAAAAACGAAGCTCGTACTGAAAAGAAAACAATGCCTTTTTTATTAAGCTTTTAACTGGCCCAACACAACCACGAAACCACCCATAAAATGAAACACAAGGGGGTTTGACGTTGGACTGTACGACACACACACGCTGGGTAATTTATACAATGACACGCGAGAATCGGACGGGGTTCACATATAACACAGGCAAGGGCACACACGACAAGAGGGAATACAACAAGTATTTACAATTACACGAACAAGGAGCTATTTACAATATACCCAGCATGCTAGGCGCACTTACTGGGCTCCGCTATGCGCAGCTGTCTCGCCAGCGATGCGATATATTCGCATATACATTCATACATCATGGGTGATTATATGATTTTTTAAGGTGGGGGTATAACAGGGGCCATAATTCATATAGAGTGGACACCCTTATCATTAGCCAAGGACGTATTTTAAATCGGTGAGTAACAGGGGCGGGGATACTCCGTGGGCCAATCAGCTTTCATCTGGAAGCAGTCTCCCTGTGGCCCCGCCCCTATGACACGTTGTTTTCAGTAACAAGTTTACCAGCTGGCCTTTCATTCAATTTACAAAGCGCGGAATAGAAACTACTGCAGCAGTGCCCCCTACTGGCGACTAATATTTCATCTGCGTTATTTTCTTTATAATTCAGGTAGACGCGTTTAGCTGTTTTTTGGAAAGATAATATATTAAACGTGGTGAAATACTTCATCGCAATTGCTGTAAGTGATACGAACACAGTGGGCAGTAGAAACAATTAAATTCACCATTTACGAACTTTTATTGTCGGATTTTTTCAGTTTTCCTAACCTTAAGAATTGTGACCAGTCTGCCCTCCCCTCATCACCTCTGCCACTTTGAATCTTCCAGTAGTAAGTGAATTAATTGCTCAATTGTTCGCGTCATTGTGTTTAATTATAACTATTGTTTTCAAAAATATTTCGTAATCCCCGTAAACCGGAACAGGATAAACGGCTAAAAAGATGAAGAGATATGGATGTCGGCTATTTTTACGGCGAATTATGAACATAACGATATTTATTTATTTATTTAGGTAAACTTGTGTTAGTGTGGATCGAATAGTAGGCCGCGTTTCCCGCAAGATATGATGGCAATGGTGTTTCCGGTAGCATTTAGAATTTCTCACATGGTTTTAGGAAACGAAATTGGAACATAAATCGAAAATGTATTCGTGGGTCGATTGTCAAGTCGATTATTCCAAAATTTACCAACCGATTATATCGGTGTAAGATGTTAATTTTTATTTATATTTTTTCTGTAACCATTTAAGATTGTAAGTAAAAGGACAACCAGATAGCAACAATATAATCCTAATACAACGTACATTATCAGACGCCAAAATGAACTGATAATCCTTGACATCAGATTAATCACCCACCATCCACCCTTGTTCTAGCCACTTTTCCTGGCCAGGGTGGACAGGGGTCTGGAGCCTATCTTAGGCAACACAAGGCACAATGCCATAGTGTACCCTGGACAGGTCATCAAATTCACCCAAGTGTAAATAAGTAAATCCACATCTCACATTTAAAGTAGCCTCCAAAATTTGGCCACATGCTTCTTGGAAGGGTGCAATCAGTGACAGTACAATCATTAAATGAGGGTGGCACGCCTCACACTGCGCACAGACCGATTTCACTAGTACAGCCTCACACTGCGCACAAACCGATTTAACTAGTACAGCATTGTACAAGTAGGTTGTGTGTTCAAATCCCTGGGAGCCTACATAAATAGTAACCCTGCTGTAAGTTACTTTGGATAAAAGTGTCAGTTTGATAAATAGACTGGAACAGGTATGTTCAGCCATGCAGTCGGGCTTGACCATTTTTGTGGGGCCCGGTGTGTTTGTCTGTCTAGGCTGTTGCGCAGTTGTGCTTCACCATTTACAGCAAAGAATCAAGATGGCGCCTTTAACATTGGTCAGCCTTGTTTTGGTGGTGTCCAAAGTGCTTGTCTGTCTGGGTCATGACCAGACCCTCCCTCGTGTGAGGCTAGGGCTTTAGCCATCTGCTGCAGATGGTCTTTGGTTGACATAATACGGATTTGAGAGCCTGTGGCAGCCGATTATGTGACGGACACCAAATCCTGCCATTAGCTTTTTGTTTTTGGTTTGCTGGCCGTTGAGACTTGCTCCCCGGCCACCCAGGCGAATCCACAGAGTTTCAGCCTGCTTCTTATGGGCTTTGGCTGCTGAAAATCATCTCACGCTTAGCAGAGCCGCCAAAGCTCTCCCCTGTGAGCACACCAGACTCAGTTTCCCGGCCTGAAGGTTGTTTTGTCGCCGCTCACATTTGTCAGTTAAATTTTCGGTCCCTCTGCCATCTGGGTTTTGGATTTCGCTACAAACAAAACCTTTGGGACTGAAAGCTAGTATGCTTTATTTATCATTTGATCCTGCTAAAGTGAAAAATTCATTTTATCTGGCTGTTCTAATTGGGCATTAATCAGGGGTGCTGTACTAATTAAAGGGCAGTTCCACCCTAATGACTGTAAGTAATGGGTTTTGTTATTAAATCCACTGAGAGCTGTTTTTCAATTTACTAACAGGCCTGAGCTTGATTAGTAACAGAGCGAACGCGCACTGCCCTTGGAGGTCACATCAGCGAACTGTGGAGCGCAGGTAGTCATTACCCCCAGTGGCCTGAAGGGGGAGGCCATGAGCTACCCATCCAGCATCAACCAGCATGTGAGCCTGAGGTGAAAAACAATGTCAGGCAGCCACCCTGATCTCCAGGGCTGGGTTTATTCTGCCTAGCGGTTAATTCTGTTTTGTCAGTTGTGCTGAATGTGGGTCCTTTACCCTGTCCCACTAGTCTTTAGTGTCTGCTGTATTGCTCCTACCCCGAAGTATACCATGCCAGCGCCACAATGTATCAAATACCATCTCTGCACTTCAGTTGCTGTCCGTAGTGGTGGCACTCAGCATGTCAAATTGGAGTGCGGTTAGGGAGATGTGTCCTATTAATCACAGACACCCATTGCAACATCGTGTGTTTATAATGAGGAATAAATAGAGATGGTTGCTGCCAGGACGAATTTGCCTTGATTAGATTTCCTGGACTGGGATGTGTGAGGGACACAAGGGTGCTATAACAGTATGGACCACATGGTGGTGCTGTTGTCACATAATCTTTTGTAAAGAGGCTTCTTCTAGTTTGAAAAGGAGGTATTTACTCTTCACTCTCTCTTTGATGGATACCAAAATCAAAGAAGCTGGTCTTAACCAAAGACAGAAAGCTCTGTGTGTATCTGTCTGCGATTTTTTTGGAGGCAGTAACACAATTTGAAAAATGTATTTAAGAAGCCAAGGAATTTCTTAAGTCACCAATTGACGTTGTTTTGTCTGGAACTGCCTGGGTGTCTTTCTGCTGAAGCTGGCAATGGCCTGTGTGCCGAAAATTAAAAGCAAGACTCATTTTTCCCCCTCAAGGTGATTAATGGAATTCCCCATCGCATCAGCTTCCCTGGACAGTTAATCGAGATGCACTTTTGGCAGAGAAAGGGAGAAGCGGGAGGGGGCGGGGGCAGTGGCAAAACAAGGGGGCCCATTGGGGCAGAAATGCTACACACAGCCTGAAACCTCCCCCTCTTTTTGGCGCTTGGTGCTGCTTTTTGTTTACGTCGTGATTTGCCGCAGTCTTGTTGAAATCACGCATTGGGGCGGACTCTCACAAGCCCGATTCCACGCAGCGCTTGAGCCCGCCGCACAAGTCCTCCACCCGCTCGCGGGAGGGGGGAGGGGAGTCCGGAGCTTTCTCTGGCTCGTGGTCAGCGTGCCTCCGCTTCTGGAGAAAGGAGGCTGTTAGGAACACATTCAATGCCCGCTTGTCCTTCACTCTCTCTCCCTCTCTTGCTCGCTCTCTCTTTCTCTGAGAGCGTTTTCTGTCTCCCTGCAGAATCTTAAACATGACTTTGCCTTTTGTAATGGATGCTCTCCCCTGACTTTCCTTGCTGATTGCCTTTTTTTGTGCAGGAGACCAACAGCGTGCGGAGGACTCTGAATCTAAGGTCGAATCTGCCATGTTCCAGCGTGCTTGCGGCTGCCTCTGTATTTGCGTGTGTGTGTGTGTGTGTGTGTGTGTGTGTGTGTGTCTCCACACAACCTTCTGTCTCCTAGACAATGTGGCCTTCACAACTATCTTACCGGTGGCTTCATATGGTGCCGGTACAGCTCCAGCTTATTAGCTCTTTATCTCTGGCCGTAACCAAAGAAATTAAATTACAAATGTGGTCACGGTGAAGCAGAGTTTCTCCAACTGTGTGACTCTGCTTTGCATATA